GAGCCACAGCTGCAGACATCTGCTTCCAACCCCAATTAACAAGATAGAGATTGTAGCCTGAAGGTCTTTCACTCCTGTAATTAATGTCAACCTGGAGACTTTCTCTTAAAATAGTTCTCTTAAATTAACATAATCTGTTACTTGGAAAAATCCTTGAACCACTCCTAAGATCCTGCTCAGTTTCTTTGATTTCCCACTCTATCCCTTCCTTGTTTGAAAAACTAAATGTACTGCCCAGAGACATTCTTTTGTCTTAGTTCCCAGAGTCTCAAACTCTGTTGGAGGATTTTGATCCTCATGGAGCCCTAAAAACATACTACTTGTCTTATTTATTTAAGACTTCAGCATACACTCATTTGGAATATTGAGGATCTTGGTCAGGTCTCCGATATTGGGAAGTAAAGAAGGCTTCCATCTCAATTTCAGAAGGCTAGGAGGCCAGGCAGCGTGCCCCCGAGAGGGCAAAGCATGAAGTTGTGAGGTTGAAGCCTAAGATGCAATGGAAACCTCAGAAGTTTGGAGAAGCCAGAATAGTGAATTGTCTAAGGAAAGTTGCAAGGAGAGGGCGAAGAAAACTTAAGAGAGAAACCACGTGAGTTATAACCAGTAAATTGATAAAGTGATGTCAGGGTAGAGTCACTCAAGTTCTTTGGAGCTGACAACTTGTCACAGATTGTATTATGTGATTTACTAGGATCTATAAGACTTAATGTTTGCCCTGCTGGATTTTGGACTTGCTTTGGTCTCAATCCTTTGTATGACCCTGCTTGTGACTTTTGGGATGAAAATGTTTACCTCGTGCCATTGAATGTTGGAAGTGTTTAACTTTGTTTTCATTTGTACAAGGACTTGCAGTTAAGTTTGCCTTACATTCCAGAGGAGCCATGTGACTTGGACAAAAAACAAAACAAAACAAAACAAAACAAAACAAAAAAAACCTGTTAGAACTTTGGCAAAGCTTAGAGAAGGACTAAATGCCATTTGCGCAAAGAGATGTGCATGAGTCTTTAGGGGTCTAGGGACGAAATGTTATGGTTCTAATGTAATATAATGTTGATAGACATAATACTTGTTTTAAAGAATTGTTAAATCTGTGTTATAATGTTAAAATTGTGAAATGATAAGAATAAGCATGTCTTTATATCTGGAGACAAGTTTAAAGAAATGTGTCTAGTTTCCCAGTTAAAAAAGGGTGGATTGTAATTGTTAATACACTATCAACTAAAGAAGTTTAGAAGTTTAAGCAACTCGCCAAGGAACCAATTTGTAAACATGCTGAGCTCATCCAAGAGGAGGGCAGGGAGATAGTTTGGGTGCTAAGCAGGCCCCCCCAATGAAGGAATAGGCAAGGGGTAACCTGCAACAATATAAGGGGAAGACAAGAGGTTTGCTCTTCACCCTGTTGTTTTTGCTGCTTTTGCTGTCTTCTATCACCTTAAAGTTTTGCCACTGTGCCATGCCACTCTGCCTTGAAGCCAGCTGACTACCAGTTTAAACCTTCACAAAATGTGAGATAAATAATAAACCTTTCTTTCCTTAACTTTGTGCATTGGAGTATTTTTGTCTCAGAGACCAGAGAAAAGCAACTAAGACAATTCACAACTCAGAAAAGTTATTCTCTTAATTCAAATATTCTAAGTAATAAAACTGTAAGTAATTTAAAAAAACATCATCTGAAGGACAAGTAGGATAACTGAATGCCCTTCTTACACCCTGGATTAAAGCATTACCCACCATGTTAAAATGGTTTGTAAATTACAAATGCTACAGAATTACAAATGCTCATCATCATTAAGAATCATGAAATAGAGTTAAAATTGTTTTGTGATAGAAATGATTACTGTGATAGAAATAACCAGCAACAAAAAACAATTGATAAGCCCTGTCTCCTGTATGTATTTTAAGGATTGATTGATGAACAAAAGAATGCACAATATTGTAATATATAAGCAGATTACTTATGCATTAATTAGATTTATTCTATAACTCATTATTATGTTGTAATTATTCAAGTATAAACTTCAGGATAATTATTTCTGTCTAAAAACATAAATAAGAAATAGGCTATGTTTTGGTGGCCACTTATCAAAACAAACAGAACCCTAGAAGTTTTTGTCAAAAAACGCAGAAAGAGTTAAGCTAGTTGATTATTTGGCACTATAGGTAAAACAAATAATTGATTCCATTTCTCAGTTGTAACACTGTATTTATAGTTCACAATTAAATTTCAACAAATTCTAGAATAAAATTCACTTTTGACTTTTAGATATATTTTCAAATGGCTAGATTTTTTTCTGCAAATAAAGTTCATAGTTAATTTTATGTGACTATCTTGTACATAATTTTGTGGTTTGAAAAGTGATGAATAAATTTTTTAATATTTAAATATTTCCTTTACATTGTTGCTTTAACTTGAGTTCTCCATTACAATAGTGATCATTTATATATATATATATATATATATATATATATATATATATATATGTAACTACCAGTTAATAGAAAAGATTTCCAATCTATTTTATTTAATCCAAAACAAGTGTAAAACTTGTTAATAAACAAGAAGTCTCATTCATTTAACACCTCCACTCCAGTTTTACATAGATGAATGAGTGAGAAATCTTACATGAATCATGCATATACTTATATTCCATGGAAATAAAGCATAAATTGAGTCTGCACCCAATTTGAAATATATACAACAAAAAGCTTTTGTTGTCTTAACAATTTTCTAATAGCTCACTTTCTATTTTAAATTTATATTTACAACTACTACTGAAAGGTAAGTGTTATTTATAGAAGAAAAGGGACCTAAAACTTTAAGAAAGCAAGTTACAAATATAACCACAATACTGATTAAAATAATGCTAAATATATGCATTTCGGATTTTATATAGGCTGCATTTTTCATGAAACATAAGACTGCAAAGTACAATGGCAAATTATCCATTCCTAAAAATAGTGTTTTGTTACTTTTCTTGTTGATTTCAAGGCAAAAAAATGCACTACATTTTTGGGCTCTGTTATTAAATAAAGGCAACGAACAGATCTAAATATATAGATTGGGATGTGCAGAATGTTACTTACATAAATGTGGTTCAAACTTGCTTTTACTTGAATAAACAAAATCATAAATACTTTACTTTTCAATCTCTTTTCTGAACTCTAACCACAAGTGTTAACATTTAGAATAAACTGCATTGAGCTTGAGGTCAGTGTGTCTCTCACTAAACCAAGGGGTTAGTTGTAAAGACAGAGAGTGAGAGAGCTAGAAAATTCACTAGTTGTGTTTTTCTGCCTCTGAAAAGTAACAGATTTATCTTAGTTATAGTTAATAAAAAGCTCCTTATTCTTTCACTTCCATCAACACCTTTGCTTGGAGAAAAATATAAAAAAAACAAAAAAGCACTTCCTAGTATTTATTCGCATAATGATATTTTTGAGTGGTTAATGAGAAAATTTTGTTGGTGAACTGCAGTAAATAGGACAAGGTTCACAAGGTTCAACAGGAAACATTAAGTAATATGTTTCAAGTACAATAGCTGGAACTGATGAAGCATATATTTTATAACTAAGTATTTTAGTGCATTCAGAAAAATGATAATGAAGCATTACAAATTATGTTTTTGTTATACAAAATATTCCCAATTTAATGTCTTGTACAGAATTTATTTTTATATTTCGCTGAGCAGTGATCCAAAAATATTCAACATTTACTTGATTCAATCACATGAAACACACATACCATAATTTCTAATTTTACCTACTAAGAGAAATTCTTTCGAAACAAGATATATATTGTGATCCCAATCTTATGAAATGATCAGACAGAAAAGATTCTTGAGCCTGAATTGAACTCAGTTTGTCTATATAAATTATTTAATCTGAAATATATAATTTAAACTGAAGAACATCAGACTTGATAGAAAATAAAAATGTTATAAGTTTTCAAAACATTCCACAATTAAAGGATTATGCAAATGAGCCTCTAATGCTGAGTTAATTTGTTTAATCATATTATTACTTACCTGTAGACAAAGGTCAAACCCTTATCCTTATATATTGAATGAAAAAAATTAAAACAATACAGAACATTCTTTTCACACAGGGAGGCTAATATTTTAATCAAAGCAGAATCGCCATGTATAATACTGATATGATAATAATGGGTAGAGATTGAGACTACTGAAATTGGCATATATAGTTTGTCATGTGATCATTTGACTTCGCATTATTTTTTCAATTTGTACTGCTTTGATATTCCTTGACTTTCACTTACCAAATGTTTACACATTGGGTATTCCTTTGCTCATTTCATATTTCCCTGTAGCAATCAATAGAATCTTATTTTATTTTGTATCAACATGATTAAATATAAAAATGCATATACTTTGGCACAAATATTACAGGGTACAAACTCAATCATAAAATGGTTATCTAGAATATTCAGAATATTTTAATATTATCTCTAATATTAACATTGAATAAAAACATACCCTTAAGTGATCACGGATAATGTGCAGATTGCAAAATAGGGAGACTGAAATGAATACCCCAAATAGCAACATAATGAAGGTGGTTGCTTTTTTAAAATAACCTACTGAAATTCTTAATGGTGGTAAAAACCACTGAGGCAAAGAAATCTAACCATATTAAAGTAGCACATTTTTGTTTTTAGCCACTATGGGCAAATGTAAATTCATTTATAAAATGTCTCACAACTTCTTGTAACACACATGTACGCTATGTATGTCATTTATAACCTTAAGAAAGAATGATATTAAGGGAGACAGATCTTTTGAACAATGGAAGGAGACCAAAAGATGGAGGGATAGTGCAGAGAAGAAAGGGGAAAAGGGTGGAAACAGAATTAAATTAAAATATATTATGTACATGTTCCAACTTCCCATGAGGAATGTAATCATTCTGTGCTACAAATGTATACCAATAAAAACAAAAAATAAAAGAGGAAGAAAATGAATATACAGCAGATTTCTTACTTTTTGCTCTCTCTAACTGCTTTATCTCCCTTCTTCCAAGAAATGTTTGGTTTTGGAGAGCCTTGAGGTTTGCACTCTATGATAACTTCTTGGTCTTTGGTAACAATTACTGTTTTCTTCAATTGATTCGGTGCAAAAGTAGGAGCTGAAGCTATTGGAAAGAAACTGTTAGTTCTACCAGAAATTATACATCAAATATATGAATAATCTAGATTTTATAATTTTTCCTCTGGGAAACATTTGTCTTAAAACATTATATATGTAATTAACATGAAAATTTATTATTAATTAATGTATATCTTTCTATTTTTTCACTAGCAGATGCTTTCACACAATACATGGTCCATGAGTAAGTTGTTTCATAAAATGACAATATGTAATTATGATTATCAATGTCACTTGCAAAAGACTGATAGATAACTTTGGCAAAAGGCCAAAGGTCCAACTGCAGAAGCCTATTTGGCATTTCTCTGGAATAATTTATTTCATCTTCTGTAGAAGAAAATCTGTGCCCTATATTTCCCACCTATAAATTTTAATTTTATAAGCTTTATTGATATACAAATTTGATGTAGTTTTAAAAATACAAACAATTTGAATTATTTTAATTTCAATTCAAAATTTTATTTCATTTGTTCCAGTTATTCATCTATGTCTGATTACTCCTTAAAATTGACATTTTGTGTTACATTTTTTATAGATGCTTTTGAGTGAAAGATATGCACAGAATTTTACAGCATCTAAGAACTTCATACCATTTTGATCATTTCGTGCATATTTCAGTAATATTTAATGTTCATAAGTTGCACTATAATGTGTGGCACAAAAACATTAAAATTTATATTTGTAAAAAAGCATAAGATATTGACAAAAAGTGAGAGAAATTATGGTGAGAGCACTGCTAACATTTTTGGTTGCTTACTGAAAATAGAATTTATGAAAGATAATTTTTAAAATATGTAATATGTAGTGAATAAGAACAACATCAAAGTGTTTTTTGATAAACTGTTAAATAAATGTAAACTGAATCAGCTATTTAATTTGAAGATTTTAGAGTATGAATTGACATGAAATTACATTAATATTTGATAGATTAGCATGTAAGAAATTGATATGTAAACCTCTGTTGGTTATGGATGTCTTTTAAAACATGGAGAAATTGCAACTGTCAATACCTATAACTCAATGCATTTATTTATGATATATTATATTTAGTTTACACATAAGTGGTAGTTTCCTAGGTTTCTAAGACTGTTGTTGCTTCTGCAAATAGTATGTTTGGGGAATATAGATGGGAAATAGAAAGTATATTTGACCTTCTGCCTTTTAGGAGACAAATTTTGCTTTGTATTATAACCACTCTAGAATCAAAATTTAGGATTCTATCTGTTTGAGAAAAAGCAAAGTCCATTCCAGTGGTCCCAGAATGCTCATTCAGAGGACTCTCTTTCACTGGATTGACTGCTGTAATTTTTAGTGAGGCCTGTGTGCCAGTTCTTAGATTCTCTTCTTGTCAAAGGTGAGTCCATGCCTTCCATGTCTCATCTCTGGCTGGCTCTATTTTATTTTGAGGATGATGAAGGTTAAGACTTCATTAGAAAAGTAGATTTACTTTGGATTCCTGTCTTGTAAGATACACACACAGAGCTGCTTTAGGAAATAGAAAGCATTTCTATGTGAGCAGGAACAGACTGCTTGAATTTTACTTTCTAATCTCCTATACTCTCAAGACCTTCTTCCTTAAAATTATCATATATTTATTTGTATAATTTTAATGCCAGAGAAAAGACATATAACTCATTCAAAATTAAAACATGACTTAGATAACCTACATAAATGGAAAAGATACAGAACAAAATATACACAAAGTAAAGTGATCTTCTAAAACTTATAAAAATTATCAGCAAAACATAGCATTTCTCTTCAAGCCATAAAATGCATTTTTAGCACTCTATCACAAAACTTCAGTAAGAATTCAAAAATGAAAAGAAGCAATCCATTTTTGTCTATTTATTTACTCAGAAACTGCATACCTAGAATTTTCAGCTCAGCACTAGCATAAATAGCTCCATATTTATTTTCAGCCAAACACTGATACATCCCAGAATCTGATTGGTTTACACTGTGAATCATCAATACTCCATTAACTGTGTGAATCCTTGTCTGTAATGGAAAAGAGAATGGAGATAGAAAATAAGCCACTCATAAAGATTTTGTGCTTGTTCTGTCCTAGATCAAGAAAAAAAAAATACCCTCTAATTTCTAAAATTAGACATTTGGGAATTTTGCAACACAAATTTATTGTTTATTATTTTATCACACATCTTGGTAAAGAAAATAAATATTTTCTGCAGTTATCCTTGCAACTTTTACTTTCAATTATATTTTTGATCTGAATTTGATTTTTAAGTAGACTAGTTGAACTTGTAAAATACAATTACCAGATGATGGTTTATTTGAGTTTTTTTTGCAAAGAGGAATTGGGAGGAAGGACAGAGGGTACAGACATACCAGTGTCGAGTTAAAAATTGCCATGGTCATAACAGCAATCATTTTGCTCTACTAACATGGCCAGGAATTTGTCTTTTCTCTCACTTCCCAACAAACTAACACAAAGAAAGTACTGTCCTGAGATTGGATTATGTATAAAATTATTGGTCAGAAAATATACATTTTTTTTAGAAAAACCTAATAAAGATGACCAACAATTGACTGAGAGTAAGCAAACTAGGGTAAATGGAGGCCAAAACAGTACTTCTGAAACAAACTTTATATTTCTCCAAAAGTACAATGAATAATAAGTACATTTAAAAAGTTCATATATTTAGCTGTTAGAGAAAAACAAATGAAAAAAAAAAAAAAAACCTCAGGGATTCTATTAAGAACTCTGGCTGCCATCAGGAACTCATGAACACACACACACTCTCTCTCTCTCTCTCTCTGTCTGTCTCTCTCTCTCTCTCTCTCTCTCTCTCTCTCTCTCTCTGTCTCTCTCTCTCTCTCTCCCCAACAAATAACAATGATTTGGGAGAAAACGAAGACATCAAATTGTTGGTGGGAGTGTAAACTGCTGCAACCACTATGAAATCAGTGTGGAGATTCTTAAAAAACCCTAAAATTTTAGAGATTTCATTTGACCCAGCTTTTTCTCTACTGAGTACATGCCCAAAAGAGGTCATAACACTGCAATGATACATTCATATCCATGTTTATAGCATTAGTTAAGCCCTATAAACAACCTATGAATGCTTAAAGAAAAATATATATCCACAGTGGAATTTTATTGGACTGTAAAGAAGAATAGATTCATGTCATATGCAGGAAAATGAATGGATCCTTAGCTCATAACTTTAAGGAAAATAAGTCAGAAAGTTGTAGAAAGAAATAAACAGAAAATTAAATATTGCATGAATTCTTTAATAGGAGAAACCCAAAATATAAATAAAGTGTAAATAAAGAAGAGGTAATAGGGATCAGTGAGGCAGATATTCTGTATATGGGGAAGGGAGCGAGCAAACAGGAGAAAGGGGAAAGGGAATAGAGAATGTTATCAACTCCCCAAAACAAATGTAAGTATTATGTATCACAAACGAATACTTAAAAATGTTTAAATAACTAAGTTTCTTTCTTATTTCATACCAAGCAAATCATTTTTTATTTTAGTAAGTAATGCTTTATTTATCAGAAGAGATACTGTGTAATTTTGACACTTTAAAAATAACCCCATTTACATAGTAAACACGCTGGTGGAACTGATCTTTCTCAGAGATCAGGAACAGAGTAGATGACCAGCACAGTCTTTTCTCAAGGAAAATCCTCAGGAGAGGAAGAGTGAAAGAACTTATGAACTCATCTTCAATGCTTCTTTAGCAACTCTACAGTCCTATTTGTTTTTCTTAGGCTTTTTGTGTAACTGCATTGTTTTGGTTTAGCTGGCTTTATAACAGGGAGTTTTAGAAGTGGATTAAATTTTGAGGATAATCTGATTCAATTTCTTCATTTTAGAAAGGAGCAAGCTCAAACCCAAAGAGATATAATACATGAGAGTTTCTATACCCAGCGATTGATAGGATTTGTGCTCAGAGTCTTAATTCTACATGCTTCTCTATTTTGATCAAAAATAGTGAATTATTCCTAGTCAAATTTATAAACAGTAAATTGTTTTCTTTCCTTTAAATATCATAATCAAAGAAGAGAGCTGTTTAAATTATCGTTACTCTGAAATTAAATAGTAACCAACTTAAATATAGTACCTAGAAAGTTACTTTAAAAATCACACATTCACTAAAAAAGCATTTTAAAAATCTGTGGTTAATAGGACATCATAGAAAAAACAATTCCCAGGACACAAGAGATAAAGATTCTATTCAGGTCTCCTCTTACTAGACATGTGATCCTGGGTAATTCCCTTCAAGAAATTAACTACATTAATTCAAAATAAAATAAAAGAAATAAGCTACACAGTATCTAATAGGCAGCTAGAATGACAAAAACTTTATGATGATCATTGATATTTCCCCAAGAACTTATAGTATTGCAAAAAATTGGTATAAGTACGCTACATATGTAATGAGGTGATCAAGTGTTTTTGTCTTCTATATTTAGTATATTTCTGACTCCAAATATACTAGCAGGTAAAGGCAGGAAATGCTTTCAAGAAAAATAAAACCTATTTTGTCCTGTGTACAATCCTGCACTGGAGCAGGTTAATAGCTCCCAACAGTACCTGAGGTAGTAGAGGCACTCCATTCTTGAGCCAGCGATATGTGGGCCTGGGCTTCCCAGTGGCCTTGCATTCCCATCGGAGAGGACTCCCACTGTCTAACTGGGTATCATTCAGCTTTTCTACCCAGTGTGGGTAAGCTGTAAGTATTTAAGAATTAAGGAAGGGTGATTACATTTCTCGCTTTACTAAGTTCAATATTCTTATAGAGAAATGCATGGCATTTAGATATTTTTATTTTTAAATTTCACATAACCATAGATTTTGGAATAAGCATTGAATTACACAAAGAACTATGTTTCATGAACACAAAAGAAAAAAGCAACCAAAAATTGAAGATATATGTAGTTTTATGTACCAATGAATATATTTTGATGACATTTTTGTCAAGTAGATGCGTGTAACATATTCAATTTTGAAACTACTTTAAACCAAGTGGTTTGCTTCTATTGAGCCACTAGTAATTGTTTATCAGGAACTCAGTTACTTAAGGAACATTGCTCATTAAATATATGGGAATAGCAAAGGTAGAAGTAACATAACAGATTCCATTATTGAATAAATACTCTTTTTCCTTATTTCCTAACAGGACCTGGATGGTTTTAGAAAAGTCATTTCTGATTGAAATTTTACTTAGCATATAAATTTTATTGATTTATCTTCTAACATAAAAAATTAAAGTTTTAAAAAATTGTACAGCGGAAAAAATCCTTTATCAAAAGATAATGCTGTAATTTTACAAACTCTGTAAGATACTACTTAAAATCTTTCCTCTAGGCCAAGTATAGAGCTCAGTGGCATAGTGCCTGCCTTACTAGTGTGAAAAAGTCTTTTCTCTGATGGCTAATTTATAAAATAAATGTGACTCATTCTCCATACATATTCATATTTACAATAGTCAAAGCAATAAATGTAAAAAATTAACCTAAGTTTATTTTTCTCTAGCAATATTTTTGGCAAAAACCTACTAAACATCAGTTCTACTGAAGACTTCGATAATTCATTCATCCACACTATGGTGTCCTTACCAATCTCAGAAATCATTAGGGATAGAGGAATAACCGTATCTTCTAATTAAGAAATTTAAACTGGGTTAGGAAGGACCTAAAATCACTTCCAAGGAAAAAACCACTAAAGGAAAACGTTGATGTCCAAAACCAAATAGCAAGGCAGAAAGAATCCTCATCTTTAAAATCATAGTAGTTGACATTATGATGCCTTTTCACTGCTAAATGCTCAAATTAATTCCCGAAACACTCATTCTGAAAAGAAAAACATCTTATTTTGTGAAGCAGGAAACTGTGGCTCAAAGCAATTAAGGAAGTTTATGCAAGGTTACAAGGCATTTGTCTTTAAGTAGGAATATTGTTTTTATTAGCTCATTGGTTATCTAGCCAGTATAACCTTGTCTTTAAGGAGCTCAGCACTGGCATAACATAGTCAAGATTTGTAGTCATGAAATATATTTTGTAATTCCTATTCAAAAATCTTACCATAATGAATTTCAAATATGGATCCTGACTTTTGAGTTTGGAATGCAAAATCAGTCTCTTTATTGTTATATATATAAAAATTACTGAGAAAGATAATAATAATAAACTCTAACTTCATATTTGAGTTTTCTATAAACTTTCCTACCCTGATTTCCCTGCTAATTCATACGTGAGTGAGCCTTGCAGTCCACATGGATAAGTTTGCTATTTTTCAAGCACATACTGTAAGTTTTAGTCTGTTCATTCTATGTGAACTGTTCTACTCTTCATTGTTAGTATTAATCTCACTTATAATTCAAGGGTTATCCTAAGTTAAAGTATATTAGTGACAACACCAGAGGGACATCATCTGTACAGTCCTTGGATTCCTATAGTTCTTTCTCACCCAGGAAATCATCAAATAATGGCTTTTTATTCTTATTCTGTTACTTAAGTTGAACGAACACAGTTTGCTTACATAAGCTAGATAGCTAGTGAAATCATTTAGAGTCCTGTTGATTGAAAATATATACTTAATTTAGATACAACATGGTCCAAAATATAGAAAATTATAGTGTTGACCACTTGTATTTTATGATCATTTTTTAATATGCTAGAATTAATGCTGGTATATGCCACTTGTAGGAGTTAAAAATTTACTGAAATGAAAAATTAGGCAAGTACTAATTATTAGAGATTTTCTCATATGGAAAAATTAAAAATTGCAATACTGTTTCTCCAAATATATTTTTTATTACTCTATAAAATGTTAAAACTTAAAGTCTAGCTTCAAAAATGAACATGAGCATTGGAACAAGTTATCCCTGCCATTGCAACGATGTAGTTCCTGATTTTTTTTTTTCTTACTGAAATGTGTTTGGCAACTATAATAGGTATAAAGCTTACACTGAGCAAGAAATGTGAATATGCCATGATGTCTCTTTCTGTAAGCTCATGATTTAATTGATTAGATACAACTGAAACATCCAAATCCATTCTACCAATAATTCTACAAAAAAAAATAGCCTGCTACATAAAGCTCAAATTTAAAAAATACTATCAATTTATCAATGCTGGACAAATTCTAAAAAATAGTTTAGAGCTTGATATTTTGTTTGTGGGATTTGTTTTCTTTTTGCTTACTAAAACAGAGTCTTGATATGTTGTTTAAACTGGCCCTGAACTCACACTGTAGCCCAGGCTGGACTTGAACCTGCAGTGGCCCACCTGTCTTAGCTTCCTCAGTGCTGGGATTATGATATGCACTGCCATATCTGACTTGAATGATGACTACCTATCATTTATTTGCACGTGTGTCTTTATATGTGCATATATGATCTGTATGTCCATGTATGTTTACATCTATATGACACAACTGAAATTACAATTAAGAAATTAGATAACTTGGTGATATCACTTGGCTGTTTCTCTAGGTGCCATATGTCATTACATATATAAGCTGCTTTGCTAAGGCATGCCCAGAAAGATACACAGTTGCACATGGATACACATATACTTGAATTATACATGTATATATATGTATACAGATATACACACACAAACATGCATACAGAAACAAACACAAATAAAATATAGGAATAGATTATGTGAAAAGTAAGCTTGATGTTGGAACAAAAATTTTTGGTACTGCATGTTGGAAAAAATTAACATTATCACGGGATAAACATTAAGGCAATTTGTATTTGTGACTCTTATCCTTCATGATATACCTGGAAAATGTATTTAATAAAAGATCAGCTCAAATTTTACAATTGATTTTCTTATTTATTTTTCTAGGTTGTTTTAATTTTTAAAATGTTAACTGAAATATAGCATTTCTACTATTTATGTAGTAAGTTGTAACTTGATATATGTATGCAATATGAACCTTTCCTTCTCTAATTTTGGATGTTTCATCTCAGTAACAAGAGAAAAATAACCAAGACAGCATGGAACACGGAGGTGTCACATGTGAAGACTGCCCTGAACATGACAATTAAACCACAGACTATTTCTGTGGTAGATTTTTTTTTCTGTTTGTGTTTACATTGAGGCTCATCTAAGATTCTGATGTTGTCTTTTAGATTTTATAAGCAAGTGTATAGCTGATGTGAAAATGATGTTTACTCTGAAATCAAAATACATTAAGAATTTAATATTTGATTGTATTGTTATTTTATGTTCCTGTTAACTACACATTGCACAATATAATAAAAGCTTCCTGAGAAAACAGCAAGATGAATGAGATATCAATATATCCTGCAAAAAGGCCAGGAAAGCAAAACACATGTACTGTCAGTGTGAAGGCTAAGTGTGGAGGGAGCTATTGTCATGTGTGTGCAGGCTGCGTTAGGTGTGATAGTTGAATATTTTTTTTGTAGGGCTATAGTATTTTCATTGTAATTCATATAGAAATTTCTGTTGTCTCCATCTCTGTTTTAGACTTTGTATACCAAAAGCCAGTGATTTTTGAAAATTTTGATGCTTTTTTATAAGCAGTCAATATTAAAATGCAATATTTTATTTTTGTGATTTTTTTCCTATTGTGCACTCATAATTTAATACAATGAATATTATATGAATGAATATTATATATGATTATATAATGAATATTAATGAATATAATTTAATATAAAATTAAAATTAACAAATATCAATAGAAATACTCTAGAGAATAAATATGGGTTTGATATACCCATATTTATGAGACTTTATGACCAAAAAATATGTTGTGTTCCTATTAAAAATTTTCATTGCCTGAAGACTCCAATTTTCAGGTTGCTAAAGAGGAATGACCTTAGCTTCCTAATAATAATGTGGAATTAGCTGATATCAAGAAGTAGCCTGCACTGCGGTATTTGACCTATCTGGAAAAACAAAATTCTGGGTGGGGCCCTGCTTAAAATATTATTTCATTTTATCCATCTTTCATAAGCTTCATCTTTTAGGAAGTGGAAAATTAAAGAGACACATGGCCCTTTAAACTCAGAAGCTGTTAAAAACCCTGCCAGATGTACTGTATATTGGCAACTACTTATGCAGGAGATTAGAGTTTCAGTTCAGTCTCTGGGTTACATTTTTTGAAATGCAAAGCAGATGTGCATGACGGAACTCTTGCTTATTATCTCTTGTCATTAGAAATTCTGTAACTCTCTACTGTTAAATGCTGTTATTGGCCTCCTTTGTTGTTCCTGCACTCTTAAAATGTTGAAGAGTCAACATATTTTGTCCAATAGATCACTTTTAATATTATGACTATCCACTGTGGGCCAGTGAGAAGTAATGTAGAACATTAGAAAGATTATACAGTTGGGGGTGAATAGAGGTTCAAATCCCAGTGCTTTTGTTCCAATATGTGCTTGGGAAAGAGTTACTTAATTTTAATGAGTCTCCTCTGAAAGCTGTAGATGATAATGTCTATTTCAGCGGGTTACTACAATGATTGAACATAATAACTATTGGTTATTTCTCATCTCTTCTCTATTGCCATTGAATACAACTTCATTTTCTCTCAGATGGCTTCATGTTCATAACAACAGTAGAATTCCATCTACAAAATCTTTTTCTTCAAAGAGATAGGATTGAAATTTTCTTTATATATGAAATTAATAATCAAGAGGCTATGATTTTGTATCACATCCCACGGTAAACTTGTCATGTGTTTTCACAGCTAAAACAGTTTTTAAAAATACATCTAGCTTTCTGGATATAGCACAGTGCTGCCAGGCTTGCTTAGTATGTCCAAGGCGCTGGGTTCACTGCCCAGCAATCTCCTCAACAAAAACAGAGTCCTCTTATCTCATTCAGAAAAGTATGCTTTTGAAGAAAAGAAAAATGGTGAGAAGTAATGGCAAGAACTTGAACGCATCAAGCATTTTTCTGTAATATTAATAAACTACAATACATATGCATTTCCTGCTTTGTGCATTAGTTTAAGTCAGCCACATCCGAGAGGACGCATCCTGTATCTGGAGCTGATGGTGCAAATTGAATTCTCATGTCATTACCAGCTCTAAGTTGGATTCTAGTTCTACTACTTCTGATTATTATTGGAGTATTTTTTATTATTACTGAGATACTAGAAATCAAACCAATGGCTTTGTGGTTGACTCCAGAAATAAATCTCCAGCTTCTAATGTTTATTTTTAATAAGAATTGTACCATAAATTCCTTAACATATCTAGTCATAATTTCCTCATATGTTAAAGAAGAATTTTAATAACAAGCGTTATTGTGATTACATTTCTAAACTATTAGCAGTACATGGAGTTCATTTTGGTGTCTAGAACATAATATTCTTTGCAACTATTAATTCTCTTCATTAGTGCTTTAGTCTCCTTTGATTTCTACGTATGTGTTGCAGTAAATCATGTAGCATGATGCTCATGCCTAAGCAATAATTTTTATGATGGCATAGAATTATAATGGAAATAATCCACTTTGCATTCTTTGTTTTGTTCTTTCCGCTCTTCTTTTCTTTCCTATTCTACCCTTCCCTTCTGTTTTTTTCTTTGACCAGGGTTTGAACTCACAACCTCATGCTTGCCAAAGAGGCATTTAAGCCTCTGAGCTAAAGTCCCAGCCCCAATATTTTAATTTCAGCGGAGGAGGTGGTATTTGGGGAGGGTACCTGGGATCAAACTCATGATCTTGTGCTTGCCAGGCAGGCACTTGTGCCGCTGAGCTATATGCGTGACCCCTAACTTGTCTCTTCATTTGTTTTTCTTTATATATATGTTTTTCTTAATTGAGAACTTTCAATCATCAGGCTTGACTTATATTAGAAATTTAAAAACTTTAAATTTTCTATAATGGTTTAACGCAGATCTTTAGTGTCTATTATGAGAAACTAGAAAGGACAGAGCTAATTAACTATCAACTATATTTGATAAAAGACATATTCACTACAATAATTATGTAACTTATCCTACAGTTTATATCTTTTCAAAATTTATATTTTAATTTTATATTACATGTATATTACATTTATAATATTTCATTAATTTTAATTTCTCTAACTACCATGGAACTCTTTGTGTTGCATAATTTGTTGAAATATATTTACAGTATTGATGTTGTGTTAAAATATAAACCTACAACTCTACTTTTATTTTTTTGACACAACGAAGTTTTCTTTAAAACACTGAATTATCTTTTGACTCTAAGTGATAAAAGCATATAAACCATCTTGTAGTTACACTTTCAAGACGAAAGTGAATTACAGGGGAAAAAAATCTATGTTTTCAGTAGTCTGTGATTATTGAACATTTCAATAGAGAGGGTCATCCTCCACTTTTTCCTGATAGATAGAGCTCAAAATACAGAACTTCCAACAGTAATCAATTACATTGAGAGATGATGCTAAATATAAATCATGAATACAGTGAGATAGCCAGGCATCCTAGCACCCTATAGTTATGGTTGGAAGTATCCACTACAGATCTACAGGTTAAAGGCTTGCTTGCCAGTCTTTACTAGGTGGGCCCTCATGAAGGAGGTTAGGTCATTAGGCCGCTCCTCAAAAGGGGTATAGGGACTGCAGCCCCTTCCTGTCCTGCTCTCCCTTGTTTCTCAGGTACCACTCTTCTTCGCTCCTGTTATGATGCACTGCATTGCCACAGCCCCAAAGATAAAATAACCAAGTGACCACAGAATGATACTTGTAAAACTCTGAGCCAATAGAAATATTTTCTCCTTTTAAATTGAATATTTTATAGATTTTATCCCACAAACAAAAATGTGAGTAACATGTACTTATAGATAGTCAGGTAGAAATAATGGACAAGATTTCCCTTTACATTTTATTTTTTTGTCTTTTTCCTTTTTATTGGTACCGGGGATCGAACTCACGACTGCCTGCTTCCAAGGCAGGTGCTTATGCCACTGAGCTAAATCTCCAGCCCCTCCCTTTACATTTTAGAGTTTAATGGAGACCAAGAACTTCATATCAAGCGTCAACAGGTCTAAAAGTATAAAAGGTGGGTAAATCAAGGTACTTCTGGGTGTGAAATAGATGCTGTTCATTCATAATTGCTCTAGGGAAGTGGGGGTAAACCTATGGGCATATGCTGCAGTGGGCACCTAGATGTCTGTTGGCACACAGCCAAGTTGACTCAGCAACTGAGCACAGAATATCAGTTAATTCTTCTACACTAAAACCACAGTATTCAGGTTTAATTTCTGTGTTGGCACTTTGCAATAAATAAGAGGGTTTGGGTTGCGTTTTGGACACTCAGTCTCTAGATGGTTTGCCATCACCCTTAGTGCAACAGATGTAAACTGGGATTATCTGGGACAGATTAAAATGTATGACCATCTAATGGAACTTGTATAGAAGCCATCCTCCACAGACTATAGTGACAAGTCACATATATTCCAAGTGGTTATACACTGCTTATTTTTTTTCTAGATAACAGTCTCAGTTATTTTTCCATTCAAAGTGATACAAGTTTTGGAATGTTTGTCTTTACCTGCCTGCCCTACAGTTACACCAAAGGAAAACCCACAGAATGTTTCTCAGTGACAGTTTCATAGGCAAACCTTCTCATCAGGAGTTACACTGGGAGAAAAATTATATCACTAATATTGAGTCAAGACAGTTTTTCAAATTTCTAAAGATAATGATTTCTGCCCATGAATTAAGTACCTGTGTTAAGAAGAGGAACAGAATAAGTAAAGCTGTGTGACAGTCTCCATTTCAAATATTTTACTTAGGTGTGGGCCATCTTTAAAACAAAGATATTTGGCACTTTTCTGTAATGGTTTTAATATTAATAAGTATTTGTTTATATTGTGTGTGTGTGTGTGTGTGTGTGTGTGTGTGTGTGTGTGTTTATGGTCTTAAGTAGCAAGTTATGGTTGAGCACTTGTATTTTTACTATTATTATTTTTTGCAAAGAGGGGTTATAATACTTTATTTCATGTGGAAAATGAGAATTTCATCATTTACCTATTGTATGAATTATACAAGTAAATATGAAAACTGGATATGATTTTTAATCCACAGAGGCAAAGATGAGATTGTTAAAATGTGAAACCAGATGATCTGGTCTCTTACAGACTACTCAGTTGGCTCTTTGATAGTTTGGGGTAATGTCTGTAGTCTCTAGAGGCTAAGATCATACATATATGTTACTGTAAATCAGAAGTCTTCAAACTTTTTCTGTAAAGTACCTGACAGCAATATTTCACACTTTGAGAATCAGCTGGTCTTAGCTTTATTTAAGTTTGCCACAACCAGGCAAAAGCTGACACAGATCATATGTGAATGAAATGGGTATGATTGTGTTTCAGTAAAACCTTATTTACTCAAAAGAAGCAGCTGGACAGGATTTAGTTCATGGGTGACAGATTTTATCCATTTATTCAAGCCAAGATCTAGATTAATTTAATACACTTTATAAGATTTTTAACTCATCAGAGGGTGTTGTGAATGCCAGCGAAATGCTTTCTTTTAAAGGATACAACCCTGTATGCTATTCAAAGAGACTTACAATTCCTCATAAATTTTTAATTTAAAGCATCCTTTCGAGCAAAATAGTTTTACATGAGACTCTGTCATGCAAAAAAGCTTATAAATTATTGCTTGGTTTTTATGTACCCAACAAATAACGTTTATTTAAATTTGCATTTTGGCTTGACTCTTGGGATTAGAGCATCATGCTTTGCTAAACACACTTACTGTATATTTGTAGTTGTCCACGAAATGAGTTTTTTCCACGTGAGTTTTCAGCTCTGCATTCGTATATGCCTGCATCTTCCAGCTGCACATTTGGAATTTCCAACACTGCCTGAGATTTCCGTAGTCGTGACTTACTAGGAATATAGCCATTAACCTTCATCCATGTGATTGTTGGAACAGGACTACAATAGACAGCAAAATACTGTTAATACATTTTCCACTGTCAGGAATATAGATTCTGTTATCCGGTAATTTAAGCACTTAATAGGATGAGTGCAATAAAATGTATTCACAGCTAAGGACCACGTACGAGTTGATATATTTTACTTTCCATGTGGATTATCTGATAAATAGAGCACAAGGTTATAGTCTCCTTTTCTTTCTTATTTAAGTAAAGCAATTCAGAGACATTATACATTTTAATAAGTTGTATTTTACATATTAAGTGTTACATTTTTTTAAATAACGAAGGTAATCTGGCAAAAACTATTAATAAATGCTTAATATAATGAATCAAACAAAAGATTTATGAATTAAAAATTTATGAAATTTCTCTACCTGACACAAACACAGTTTATATGTCTTTCTGTAATATAAATACAGTTTCTATGCCTCTATGATGCATATATCCACATGTATGAGGATATATTATTTTGTCTTTGAAAAAACATAAATATTCTTGCTATTATTAAAATACTACACCCAACTAATACTGGACTGCTTATTTGTTGCTTCTTATTTCCTCGTGTAAATATAACAGAATTTAATCAACTGCCATTTATAATTAGACGCTTTGCATAATACCGGTTTTGCTTTATTTTACTGTCAGAAAAATGTTATTATAAGCAACACTGCACATAGATCATGTACTACTTCTTTTATTTTCTGCAGAAAAGTTTTATAAAACTCCAATTAGTAGTTCAAAGAGCATGAATATTTTTCATTTTAATAAGTATTTCCAGATTGTTTTCAATAAGATAGTAGCAGTTCCTAAATGTATCAGCAATATGATATTATTTCATCATATCCTTGGTATTATTTTATGTAGCAATCTGCTTAATTTTGTTAGTATTGAGTAGAAAACTGTATTATGTTGCTTATTTAATTAATATTTTCCTGAACTTTCAAACAGTTGAATATTTTCATTGTATTGTCCATTTGTCATTTGTATGCAGTCACTTAATTTTCTTATTTTCTTTTATTTTTAGTTATCTTTGTGCATTATTTAAATTATCAGAGTCCTATGTGTATTAGGATCATTAAGACTTTATTTTCCAGAAATATTCTTCCTCATTGTATTGTTAACTAATTATGGCATCTATGATACAATTCTATAAACATGTTTTAGGACAAAAAAATTCCATACTTTTGAATGTTTTCTTCTTTAGAAAATTATTTGTAACTTTAAGCTTATATCAATATATTCTGCATAACATCTAGAAGTGTTTCTCCATTGCATTTAAATTTTAAAATATTTAGACAATAGGTTTTAAGTCAGATAGGCAATATAGTAAATTATTTCAGTATATTAAATAAGTTAAATTCCTTGCTCAGGATATATGACTGTTGCTTTTGTCATTTAATTGATTCCCACACCCTTGAGCCTGTTTTAATTTTTGCAGCTCTGTCTTACTGATTTATTTAATGCTATTTATACTTAATATACTTTATGGTCTGGGCTCAGTCTACTTTTCAAGCTTGATTTCTCACTACTCCTCTCTGTGTCTTCTGACCCAGAAACACATCTCTGTGTTTTCAATCATATCTGTTAAAATTCTGCTAATCCTTCGAGACCTGTCCTGAATGTCTCATCTTCAGTGTAATGGCTAGTAGAGTTATTCACAGCCCGCTGAGCTATTTTTTCTTTTAAATAACAAAGTGCTTTATTATCTCTTACTTAAATGTTTTCTAATATTTTCTTATACATTATAAATGCTATATGTAGGACATTTTCTAAAATATTATAGAAAGAATACATTATTTTTATTATAGGAAAATTAGCAAAAATAGCATTATATTAAAATATTAATGCTATGGAAAATTTCTTGTACATCTTTGAATACTTTTCTGGTCTGTTCTCTTAGGAATTTTTTAGGAACATTTCTCAATTAAAGAGTTGAAAATTTTGCTTGTTTGTTTAGGTACACACAGCAGCAAAGTTGAATTTTGCATTCTTGAAAAACTAATACATCAACATGGTATGGTTTTACTACATATCAGGATGCATTTGTGACTTTTTGTTTAGGATTTTTTCTGCTCTAGTCAAAGGTGAGACCATAGAAACTAATCATGTTTTTGAACATACTTATTAATGAGTTTGTGTTTGAGTGTAGATAGCTAGCTTTGATAGACATGCTATCAGAAAGGTTGAGATTGCCTAGTAAATATGCTAAAATATTTCCATTGCCTATAATTTGTTTCTAATTTTTTATTTTATGTAAAAAAGTAAAAATTTCATAACAAAATAATAGAATAGCAGTAATACATTCGGTATTGTTATCTTTAAATTAATCATTCAGAGTACCAGAAAGGGGCATAAAATTTATCTTAATCACTGCAAAGAAAGGTTTATGCTGATATAATTTGGAGTATTGCCTATATTTTGTATCAACATAAAGAATAGAAAAATTATAGTTTTTCTTTGGAAATACTTAGAGGAATAACAAAAAGTTACCTGGATCTGCCACCATCAGAGGCATTAATTTTTAAAACAATGCTTTTTTTGACTAAGTGTTAATTTTTTCCTGGTAAGTTCATTATTGTGTGTCCCACTATAAAATAAACCATTTTATCCATAATTTCAAGTACAACAGAAATTATCATTGATACTTATTAAAATCTAAATTTTAATTTTTAAATTTCTTTATTGTAAGTGCTAAGTGGTAGTGGTCTAATGAATTGTGGGTTTTTGGAGTCGCTACCATTTCTGTTAAAGTATGTATCTTTCAGTGATAGTTTGTTGGTGACGAGCTTGTTCAGTCTTTAGAGTGTAGATATGTTATCTGTATTTTATTCTCATTACTTAAAAAATCAACAATACATAAAATGTTAGTTTTATAATTTTCCCTCCTAAATATGTTTAATATATAATTATTCCAATATTATCTGCTTCCAACTGTTGCTATTGGAAAGCTAATAAGCCTTCTAAACATGTTTTACGAATGATCTGAGTTTCCTCTCTGGTTAACTTTTTAATATCTGTGTTTTGTGGTCTTAGCAGTGCTTTGAAGGTCTTCTCCCAAGGTCAGTTTCCATTATTTTCTGATAGCAGACTGGAATGATAATCAACTTTGTACTGATCATTTTATTCCCTGAATAATCATACTCTTGAGCTATCATCTAGTGTATGAAAATGATTCCACATATTTTGTTCAGTCTTTTAGTAATTGACAGTTAAGGCCCAGTGTGATACCAAGTACTCTACTTTGTTAGTGGACAGTCAAAGTTATTAAACAGGGTAAAATATTTGGTAACAATCTGATGAACTTAATAGCTATTAATAGAAATTTGATACACTGTACTGTAATGCTTTATCATTTATACACTAGAATGAGTCAATAAATTATATCTATGTTCAACACATGGAGAAGACTCAGAAACATCTGAGAGACCTAAGTGAAAACTGACTATGTCATATAATCTTAGCAATGTTCAAAAACCAAGCAAAAAATAAAGAATATATTCTAAGATAGATATCCATGTGCCCTAAAATAATTGTTTTAAATCTCAAAGATGATAAATGTGTATTTCACCATCGTGGTTTCCTCTTGGAGGAAGGACAGAGTGATGGGACTGGAGATAATCCAATGAGTGTCAGTATTACTATTACTGTTAGTACTGTTTTGTTTTAAAGCCAGTTGTGAGTTTCATAATTAATTGAATATTACAGTTTTGTAGATAGTATTTACTGGCTTCATTCTTTCATCATGGAGTCTTAGAAATAATTATCATCCCTTTCCAAGTACAAGTTTTGGTAAACTAATAATTTTATTTTAAACTCTAAATTTCTTTTCTAATCACCTTATTAAACTTAACATCACTATTGCTTACGATGGCATCTCTGCCGTAGCTATGAATTTTTTAAAATTAGTAAATATATATATATATAAAAGAATCTAGGAAAAGTTATTATATTTTATCAGTAAGCATTAGTTTTCACTTGATCTTTAGGGACAAATGACTTTTAATAGCTTAGGTTGAGTTTAACACTATACACTGCATCAGAAATTTTATATACACAAGAATAGTTTAAACAGTGAAGGTCTCACTGAGAAGAAGCTTAGTTCTTTCATGTTAGAATAATCACCTCTTGATATTTTAAAATCTGAAATTAAAGGTAAAAGACAAATTTGCTGAGCTATAGTCTTTACGTTATTTCTACCTTTGTGCTTTGGGCTCATCAGATGGCATTAGAGCTGGTCCTCAATTATTTATGTAAGAATAACTTCATATTATTGGAACCAAAGTTAACTGCTATTGTTTACTTTCCTAAATTCTTAATGTCTTAATTCTCAGTGATATAATCATTAACTTTATGGCTTATACTTAAACTATTTTAAGTTTCTTCATTGGCTTGAACTATAATAAAATCTTAATTACTTTGCATTCTTCGAGTCAACCAATCCTGGAAAATAATCTATAAAAATGGGTAAAATAATTTGTAATATGGAAAGGAAAGAAGGTCCATCAAGCCAATCCTTTCACAGTATTTTTGAAATGGGTCATGGGTTAGGGTCAAGTGGCAGGGTGAGCATTCTTATTATGTTTGTTAACTCCTTCAGGAAAACTTTTCTGAGCATGCAGTATATGACAGACCTATATTTGAAATGAACACCACTGACACGAATGGCCCAAGTCCTTGAGAAAGTTATGACCAATTGGAAAAACCAAAAACCTAACCACATGTTTTAAACACAAAGTGGATGGTAAGAAAGTATAATCAAGGCTATATTAGACTGGGATATGAGAGAATGTAACCCAAAAGGGTGAGATGTGAGATGAGTTTTAAAAGCATGAAACGTTTATTCAGGTATCAGAAGTATTGTTGTTGGGCAAACTGATACACAGGAACATAAAGAACACTATGAGCCGGGCTAATGGGCTGGTGGCACCTCACATTGGTTGGAACACTAAGAGTCCCTGATAGATGGAGGAAAGTACAGGTATCTTTATAGAGAACACA